CAGGAGGGGTTTTTTTCACCTGCCTCCTTCTATCTTGTTTTAGTTTTAAATATAATTGAAAATTACTGTCAATATGTGGGTGATTTTGTTATATTATTGTTGGGGCTTTTAAAATTCATTTTATTTCCTTTTGGACATGACTCTGCAGTCCTGCAGAAGCAGAGCTCAATGAAGAGGAATAACAAACCAAGCAGCCTTTCTAGGTTTCCCTTGCATTGCCCAAGGACAATCGATTTTGTGTCCAAAAATGATTGACTTTTAGTGTTTTGTAAAAGACTTTTGACCTTTCTATTGTCCTTTTTGTCCAGCTATTTCAAGGCTGTCCTACCTGAGACATGACTTTTGACATGCTAAGACTATTTGGAAATGCATTAACAAAGTATAATGCTGCTGACTCTTTTGTGACAGGAGGCCAAAGTAGTATAACACAACTGGGAAACAGTAGGCACGTCCCTGCAGTGATGTTACAAGCCCCATGAATATAGAATATTCCATCTGATTTCTTTGTGAAACAAAATAGTTGCCAGGTACTCAGCTATTGTGAGGCATATCCTGTCTTGAACTTTTGGGCTTTTGGGAGGGAACGTTATGCTTATTTTTCTGTCTGTTAGAATGTACATGGTACTAAATGAAACATGCAACTCAAACCTACACCAAAAACTTAAAACAAAAATTGGCTTGCTCAATGCAAGTCAAATAAATGTTTGTGGCTGTATTCTCCACTTTACTCAGGGAAGAAGAGGTGTTCATATGTTATTTGTGTTTCAATTCTTCCTGATGTGGTCTCTGGAAAAGAGGGGGGTCTAGTTCTGGTCTCCTGGTTTTACTTAAGCAAAAACCCTCAGGAAAATCCATTCAGTCTGATTTCTGCAGTGAAACATTTGAAGCATGACAAATATGTTAATGATTAGGTCTTGTTATTTTGATGGCTCTGTGCCTTTCAGGCACAGAGGAGGAGGATGGCAGTGTTGTGGAGGGGATAGGCAAGCCTAGCCATGAATGCACAAAACTTTTGGTGTAGAGAGATCCCTTTTACATGATATAAGTTGTAGCCTGTAGCCTCTTATAAGGTGAGCTGCTGTGCTGCTTTTGTTACATCCTTTTCTCATATGCCTCTGGTGTACTTGAGAATCTGTGTCCCCTTCCCTTGCTCTTTGCCAATGATAAATGTCTTGATTAGTACAGTTTCACCAAAGCAGCTAGAGTCCAGATGAAATCAGTCAGCATCAAACATGTGTGTAAAGGCCTGTATGCAACAAAGCATTTATAGGAATTAATTTGGAGTAAGTAAGTTAATTCAAAGTGGGTCACTTAAAATCACCTTTAATTCCTCTGCAGGTGTTGCTATTCAAAATTAATAAAGTCTCACTATACCTGAATTAGTTCACTTGAAGACTAAATGAAGGTAAATCTTCGAGTGTTTGATTCTAAGTACTTGATTCAGTACAATTTCTGTTCAATGACAGAGGTGAAACCCATAAATACACCCCAGTGCTCTTCCACAGCATCCTCCTGAAGTGTACTGTCAAACTGTTCTGAATTCACTAGTCCTTGGGCTGGCTTGGTTTACAGCAGTTATGGGTGTGTTAGCAGATACAGCTGCTTATGACCTCTCTGGCACACAGGTGTGCTGACCTGGGTCCCCATTTGGGCAGAGGAAATAGAAACTTTCTATGAATCTCCATCTGCTAACATAATAGTCTTCAAAAGGACGGCTCCTAATAATCTTTCTACCTTTCTTGTCAGTATAAAAGCAACATAAAAAGCAGGAGCAGATGAAGGACTGCTTTCAGTGTGTGCATCCTCTTGACCAGATTCAGTATAGAGTCTTGAAAAGGAATAAATTCGCAGACTGAGGGCCATCCCTCCTCATTGTGATTTATCACTGCAGCTCTTGCTGACAGGTTTGGGGACTAATCTAGAAAATCAAAATTAGACATTCAGAAGTAAAGATCTTGCTCTTGTACATCCCTTTTTGTAATTCTTATTAAAATAAAAAGAAATGCCCTCTGAAATCAACATTTGAGATGTTCTGATAGCGTAGTAATAGAAAACTACTTTTTTCCAGTAGAACTTCCACTTCTTGTAGAAAGGTATGCAGTGGGTATGTGTGTAGACTAAACAGTGGATCATGCCTCATATTAAAATTGAAGCCAGGAATGTGTTTGAGGAAGTGTTAAGATGGTAAGGTACATTCATAATATTAGGGAAATGTATCTGTAATTCAAGATACTATCTTAAAACAAGGGATGATCTGATCCCAAATGATGAGTTGCAATTTAGGAAATAAAAAGGGAGAGGTGGGATGCAGGTGAAGGGTGCTTATTTATGATATTCCTGTAATGATTCATACCACTGTTTAAAAGGGCATTGTTATTGAAGTGATCCATAATGTATCCTAGTGTTATCCTCTGTGAATAACTGAAAGAAACACATTTCTCAAGGTTTATCCCCTTCTTTTCTTTCCCAACTGAAGTATTGAGCACAATCAACACTTGGGCAGACTGCCTAGGAGAATGCAGTATTTAATTGTAGTACTGAAGGGACTAGTGTGAGAAGAACAAACAATTAGATAAAAAGGGGTTGAAATTCTGACAGATATACTAAGATAATCTTTGCTATGCTAAGGGTTACAGCTGCCACTAATTTAGTTGCATTATTCTTCCAATTGCAGATGTTTAGAGATTGGTCTTCTAAATTACAAAGAAGAAAAGCCTTTCCACTATAAAAGCAAATATAATAATAAAAATATAATTTATAGGATGATAAAAGCTTTAGATACTGAATGATTTGATAGATTAACAGGAAAAATAGAATATTTGCACAGATATTTATCTAAAGAATAAAGTGAACACAATGACCCCAGCCAATGTATTTCCAGTTCTGTTGCTTCTGAAAGAAAATGCTTAGGAACAAGTGATTGGGCTGAATTAATGTTGTCGGGTGACATATCGATACCTAATCATGATTTGTTCATTAACTGTGTTGTCCACTAGTGATAACTAGTTAGGACTATGAAAGCTATAATGGGATAGTTTGGTTAATGTATGCAGCTCCTAACATTTTCATAAATCATTCTTGCAAACAAATCAAAGTCAATAGAAGAGTAACGTGACCACACATAATTTTACAATGTATTTTCCTGTCTCTTACTCATTGGTAATGTGCCCTTCAGCAGTGGTGAAATATCTGATGGGTTTAAAACCTCTTTTGTTTGCTATTTTGGCTATCATCTTAAAGAAAGAAAAAACCTACATCTAAAATTTATTATCCTTAAAAAAACCCCACAGGCACAAGCTGTAAGCACAGATGTTAAACTAGAGGTAAATCTATGTACTAAAGTTCATGCTAAGTGGAGGCACAAAGCTCCTGGGGGCTAATTTCCTCTGCTTCACGGTACTTAGGCTGTATCTGATACTGACCAAACTAGCTTATTTGGAGCTGGTTTGGAGATCTTGAGCTACATGCTAGTTTGCAATGCAGGTAAACCATTATTTAAGATTTATGCTAGTTATTTTATTGCTCAGTCTCCAGAAAGGCTCACCAATCTGTAAGTGTAGGTTGTGGTTAGGACTGCTTTGGATCATAATCTGTCAAGAAAAATTTGCTGGTGTGCCCATTGCCTGCCTTCTAGAACACATGGAGTTTACATTGTAAAATATTACTTTTACTTGTAATATAAAGCAGTATGGTACACGTGTTTTTATGGCAGCAACTGCACTTATAATTTAATACAAAGCTCTGACAAAAACCAGAAATAAAGGATTGGCAAAACCCTTTCATTTTTCTTTGCAGCAGTGAAATTTTTAAATAAACCCTCATGCAAGAGAGGCTGAGTGTCAGAGGATTAGTTGTAGTTCAGGGTCCTTGGTCCTACAAACCTTTAAGAAATGTTTAACACATCACATTTATCATGTCAAACATTCAGTGGAGCTTATGCAGAGTGAGGTGCAAGGAATTAGATTTCAGCTATGGGCTCACCATGGCTACTATGCTTTTCCCATGGCAAAATCCACATGCAGCAATAGGTACTCCCAGTAAAGCCCTAGGGAGAGCATCACCTTTCTGCACATGGGGACACTGTGCTTTCAGGCTGAACAAGAGAAGCTTGCAACCAAACGTGGTGTGCTGCAAAAGGGAATGCTGGTGCAATTGGGCTCTGGTGACCATTTCTGCATGATGTGTACCCTGCCATTAGGCACATGGGCTGTTTTAGGGCAAGGCTGGATTTCCCCACAGTTTTTCATGTGGTACTGTGTTGATGCAGAACGGCAGAGTAACAAAAAGATTGCTGAAGAATAAAAGTTGAAAAACAAATCTATCTCTTTGGGCAACATCTAACTGGAAAATTTAAAATAGAAACATTACCAAGGAAGACTGTGTCTGCTGGATCATAGGTGATAGAGAGAAATTTTTTTCAGAATACTCCAGAGAGGGGATCTAAACCTCCTGTTCAGAGCTGATCATATTTGCTAAAAGAGCTTGTGTCTTCCTCTCTGAAACTCCTTGTGAGGGGGAAAAAAAAAGGCTTTATATGCAATTTTAAATTAATTCTGTGGTTTTTTTCTTCCTCACTAAATTGAGTAGGAAAAAAATCCAGAATCCTCACATTTCCTCTTTTTTTTGTCTTATTTTTTAACTATAAAGAATTTAACTTTGACCATAATGTCAGTGTAGTAGAATGGAACTGCTGAATACACTCCTCCAAACAGAACAGAATACACTCCCCTTTTTGCTGGGAAAAAACCCATCCAACCTGGAAATAGAAAATTTTCATATTTGAAAAATTGAATTGGGATGAAAACTTTAGGTCTAAGTAAACTGAATGCTGTAGTTTTACAATCTCCCTGTAATTAGATAAGATAGTTGAATAAAAAATTTTCTTGGAGGAAAGAAAGGGAGACAAATGTGTTTTTATTTTATCAGTTTCAACCTTTATGGATCATGCCTTCAAGATCATGGGTCTGTTTTTTTCCTTTGATTCCATCTTGGTGTTGCAGGAGGCTACTGATACCTTGACGTTTTGTTTCTTGGAGTACCCAGTGGAAATAATGAAGCAATAAGATCCAGGAAGAGTCACCTGATGGTAACTACTGACATTTGTTATTTGTTTTGTGTGAATCTTTCACAGAGTAAAATCTACATTAAGAATACCGTGGTGTCAAAAATTTTCATTGCAAACACAAAAACGAATTTGTTTATGAAATGTGCTTTAAAATATATGAATCTATTTAAGTTTCCTGCTTAAAACTAGTTTTGAGATGCTGGTTTCTGCTGTGCTCCTGACTGCTTCATGCTGGGTTTTAACAAGCAGGAGTCAAACATACTCCTCAACAGGAGATGCTGGAATAACAAGCTAAATCTTGGGCAGATATGGGGTAGAACATATCCCTGCAGTAGGGAGTCTGTAACTTGTGGAAGCTAATTGAAATATGTAGTTGTTTTTTGCGGTTTTTTTGTGGGTGTTTTGAGAGGCATTATTTTTTTTTGGTGTTTTTGAAAGGCACTCAAAACCAGTTCTTGACTTCTTTTTTTTTTTTTCATCCAGCAACCAAACAACTTTGTTTTATAACTAAAACAAAGTTTTTTTTTTTTTCTTTTCTACCACAGGTTGCAAAGACCTCAGTCTCCCACTGAGAAAAAGAAATATCTTTGTGATTCACATGAGTTAACAGCAAATTTCATGAGACGCAGTGACATTTTATTTCTTTTCAAAGGCAATCACTAAAACAGAAAAAGGTCACATTTTATTTTCAGCAGAAAGTGTCTCTGTGTCATAATTTAAAGTGAACAACAACCTCTAGCTTCATGCAGGAACACATGTATATGTTAGATAGAGTTTCAAGGGAAAATGTTAATTTTAAGTTCATTACAGTTTAGAAAATTAAAGTGCCTATTTCTTAATGATTACTCTTCAAAAGTTTTTACACAATTTTAAAATACTTTCACTTCTGTATGATTTTTTCTGCCATTGAATTCCTACCATATTTTGGACAAAATTAGAATGATTGACTATTGATGTAATGAGAAAAGTAATTTCACAGAAAAAGCACCATGAAATTCAGTTATTGGGGTCATATAACATGACAAACCAATATGTAGTCTTTTTCTGGATGCAAACTGAAATTTTTCTGTTAAATAGGAGTTTCCACAGTTTCAGTATTCTGGCAGTAGATGCATCAACTGGGTGAGAGACCAGGAAAACAAATGGCAGATTTTGTTAAATGACCTTGCATTATCTTGCTGTATTCATCCTGGCCTTCAGTGAATATTTGTTTTGGAGGAACTTTGACTGCTTTAAAATCTGTAAAATCTTAAGTTGTTTACTGCTTTTTCCATTTATGGATCCAGCTGCTTCTGGTTTTTGGCTATGATTTTATAAACACTTGAATGTAAAAGTTATTTTAGAAATAGAGAACTGATGCCTTGGATGAAATTATTCATATGCAGGGATTAATATTTCTGGATCAGGAATATCTTCAGTATCTTCAAGACAGCTAATCAGCACAAAAACTGAGAGAAAAATATCAGTGACCTCATAATGTATTTTATTGAAGAGAAAAAATATCTTCTGCAAACAGAAACTTCCTGCTGAATGGTTATTAAAAAATTACATTAATTGACTTGAGACACATTTTTTTTCCTTTTGCTGTAGTAGAGCCTAATTACATCCAAGTCTCCTGTAGATTTGAGAGGTTTTAAGAATGAAATAGGTTTTTTTGGTTATTTGCTGATAACATTGTAATGGCTAAGGCAGATGAGATGTTCAAGCTTATTCTTGTGAGAATCAGTCTAGGACTAGGCTGAGACCTCAGACGTGTGCTCTGAGAATGAGAACAGTGTGTAATGCACCACTTTGAGAGGAACTCAGATTACAAACAAAGGTTATGAGTGGATCCTGTGAGCTCTAAGGGAACATTCTGCTGGATGCTGTTCACCCTTCCTTCAATGACTCCACTCCATTGTAGAATGCTCTGCAGATTGAAATATTTGAAAGATTCAGATGAGAAACTGCAGAAGGGGAAGGCAAACAGCAAAATAGATTTGTAAATGAGACTTAAAGAGAAGATAAGAAAATGAGGCAGTAAGGTACAGTTAGGTTGTGCCAGATGGCAAAAGACATGGAGTAAATTAGTCTGTCCAGAAGTGGTAGAAACAGCTCATGGGCCTAGTGCAGACTAGGCTAAAGAACTTTTCTGACTTAGTTCATTTTGTGCTGATGTGGTATAGCTGCAGTTGGCCCTCTGAAGTGGCAAATCTGCTCCACAGCGTGGTAGAAGTTGAGCCTCTACTGAGAAAAAGACTTAATTGCCTTACAGTGTGAGAAGGAGCATGAGGCAAATAACTTTTTACTTCTCCTGGAACTCCATTTACTGGTAGGACAGGAAAAAAAAAAGGGGGGGGGGAAGAATTATCTTCTGCTCTTGATGAAGTATACTTACTCTCCTCCTGCATTTCTATGCAACTCTCCTTATTTTTTCCCTCTAGGTGGCTGGCTGGTATATTTGATTCCTTCATTAAGCACAGGTTGAAAATTGATGTTGAGTTTCAGGTCTAAGGATATTTCACTGGTAACTCCTCTGAAATCTCCACATTTTCATAAACAGTATTTTTGCAGAGATAAATATATTTTTGAGCTGTTTCACTTGTTTAAAAGTAATCTCATTCAGCCGTCGAAGGAGAAAGGAAAATTTAAAGAGTTGTTTGAAAATCTCAGCAAGAAAGGACAGTGTTATTAAGATGTACATAGCTGTGTGATAGCCTGTGAAGCCCAATATTTTCATAAATAAACTGCCAGACAAGTCAGGTACTTTGCAAAAAGGTTTCACTTTAGAGCTTGGTAATTTAGCTCATTTATTCCCCTCTTCTTCTACCTTCATAATTTTTTCCCCAGAGGTTGGATTTTCATTGTTTAATCACTGTGTTTCAGAACTTTGATATATCGTCATTAATCCCCCTCCCTGATTTCCCTATCCCCATTTTTAAAAGAAAACTTTTCCATTTTAGGGCTAAGTTCTATAAGATCTAAAATAATAATGAAGAGGATATAAATTAGTGAATCTAAGTCTTTGGTCCTAAATCTGTTTCACCAATTACAGCAGACAACCATGAGTGAAGGCTGATTGCTTGAGAAGCTCCTCAGCCTGGCTCACTGCATTATTTCCCTGTTAAAGACAACAATAATGATAATAATAATTTCTCTGTTTGTATTTCTATTGCATAATTATGCACTTCTTTCTTTTACTCCTACACATTCTTTTGTGCTTTGAGCCAGTCTGGAGCTTGTTCCCTTCTCTCACAATTAGACTGAGGTTGGGGAATAAAAATGGAAGGGATGTTTGAAGCCTTTTAATTGTTCTGTTAAAGAATGAGTGAATGTAAATGCAAGAATGAAAAAATTGCCTAGAATGTGAGAGGTGCATAGATACCTTCTTTTCAAGAAAGGTTTAAAATCCCTCTTGAGAAGAGGGATTTCCTTTCTATGGCTTGTTGTTCTCTGAATTGCACTGGATTATACAGAGGGATTTAATGGTTGCAAAATATAGTAATAGGCTATAAGGCAGCCAGGTTTCAAAGTAAAACATTGAAAGCTGAGCAGAAGAAAACTAGGCCTAGGGTTTTATTTTCAGTACATTAGTGCATCCTTCCTCTAAATTCTTTCCCAGCATGTATGAGCTTACTGACCTATCCTTCAGTACACTTAGGAGTATATTCCTTGTGATCTGCCCCTGCCTTGCTGTGCAGTTTGCAACATTGAGCACTTGATGTTGCACAGACTCATTAGGGAAAACAGCCATTTTCAAACATTGTTCTGGGAAGATGGCTGAGGGGTTAACTACTGCAGCATAGCAATGATACAGACATGAAGAGATAAAAAGGGTCTCAAGGGAAAAAAGTTTCAGACAGAAGGAACTCAGCCTGTTGTGGAAAATGGTGAGATCTTGCTGGCTGCCATGTTTTGAGCAGACACGGTCTAGACCAGCACTGCGGTGGCACAGAACTGGCCTCCTGCCAGAGGTAGGCTGACCCCAGGTGAATGCCAGGCACCCAGCAAAGCCACTCTCTCTCTTCCCTCCTCAACTGGATAAGGAAGAGAAAATATAATGAAAGGGTCATGAATTGAGATAAGGGCAGGGAAAGACAAATTGTCATGAGTAAATCATGCTGAGCTTGAGGAAATCTATTGAATTTGTTACCAATGAAAATCAGAGTAGAATAAAGAGAAGTAAAACTAATCTTAAACACACTTTTCTCTCATTTCTCCCTCCTTCCAGGCTTAACTTTTTTCCTGATTCTCTGTTTCTTTCCCCCTCTTCTCCTTCAGTGGTACAGGGGGATGAAGATGGGGGTTGCAGTCCATCACAGGTTTGTTCTGCCTCTTCTTCCTCCTCAGGGAAAGAAGTCCTTCCCCAGCTCAAAAATGGGGTCAATCCCATGAGACACAGTCCTCCACAAACTTCTCTAACATGAGTCCTTCCCATGGGCTACAGCTCTTCGCAAACTGCTTCAACATGGGGCCCAACAGGATTACAAGTCCCACCAGCGAACTGGTTCCAGCGTGGGCCCCTTTCTCCAGGGTTCCAAAGGTCCTGCCAGGAGCCTCCTCCAGTGTGGGCTTCCCACAGGGTCACAGCCTTCTTGTGGACATCCATCTGCTTCAGCATGGCTCTCTTCCACAGACTGCAGGCCGATCTCTGCACCTCACAGGTCTCCAAGGGCTGCAGGGGGACAGCCTGGCACTTTGCCTTCCCTGGTCCTCACCACAGTCTGCAGGGGAATCTCTGCTTCAGCTCCATGTGCTCCATCTTCACTGACTTTGGTGTCCACAGAGGTGTTTCTCTTCCATATTCTCTTCTCTGGCCACAATTACTTCTGCACAATAACTTTTTTCCTTCATAAATAAGTTATCACAGAGGGTCTACTACCTTTGCTGATGGGCTTGGCCTCGGCCAGTGAAGGTTTTGTTTTGGAGCTCGCTGGAATTGGCTCTGTTGGGCGTGGAGGAAGCTTCTAGCAGCTTCTCATGGAAGCCACCTTCTCATCCTCCCAACAGAACCTTGTCATGCAGACCCAATACAGCAGTTT